ACGTGAAGAGGGGGATATTTATGCTCTGTGCAGGTGAATCACAGGTACATGTGTCTGGTACAGCTTTTTAATAGCACCAAGTATGAAGAATGGCTAAGAAATGAAGCTGGAAAGGATGTGCAGCAGCTTCGAGTCAGCATAGATATGGAAATGTACTAAGAGAGTGATGAATAAAGACAATGAGGGAGAGGCAAACACAGGACAATTAGGTAATTATCAAATTCAAAGAATTGGTGAGGAGGAAGTGAGCACAGCTGTGAGGAGGATGAAAAGTGGAAAGGCAGTTGTTCCAGACAAAGGTTGGACCTTTATTTCAGGTCCAACCTTTGAGAGCGTTGATGACATGAGATGCGAGGGTGGGAAGCAGGTGGAAAGGGACATGTGTGTGAATGGGAGGGAAGGAGTAGATAGTGAAGATGGATGAGTCTAAATACCTTGGGTCAACCATCCACAGTAATGGAGAGTGCACAAGAGAGGTGAAGAAGAGGGAGCGGGGAGGATGGAGTGCGTGGAGATGAGTGTCAGGGCTGATTTGTGACTGTGGAACAGCAGAATGAGAGGGAAGGTTTACGACATGGACCTGCTGTGATGTTGAGCAGTGAGCAGGATGGACAAGACAGTTCAGACTGTGAGAGGGGCGGCTCAGGTTTAGCACAAACAAAGTCAAACAGGCAAGACGGAGGCGGTGTGGACATGTGGAGAGAGGGGATAGTGGATATTTTGGATAAAAGATACTAAAGATGGAGCTGCCAGGCAGGAGGAAAAGAGGTCAGAGGTTCATGGATGTAGTGAAGGAGGACACGGAGTGGGTTGGTGTGACAGAGAGGAAGCTGATGATCCACTGTGATGCACTCTTAAAGGAAACTGGTGTAAACAGGAGAAGACAACCAAGTATGAAGTATGATGGTTGTGATGGACCGAGTTGAAAAACAGGAAGAGTCACAGGAATTATTAGAAAAATATAGTTTCCATTTATTTAGCCCCCAAAAATTATATTTACAAGCGTAATAAATGTTGAGCTCATAAAAGAGGTCAAAGAAACAAAGACTGCTACAAACAAACATAACTGACCTAAACATGAAATGACACACAAGGGTATACATAATGGCTGATCAGACCATTGTGACACATGAGGGGTAACAAACAAACACAATCATAAATCAAACGATGCAGCACAATCAAGTTTGTTAATAAACTAAACACCAAAGAAGAAAATCAAAAACCCCATTAAACCCTAAACTCAAATATTTAATTAAAAACAAATACTTTGTTTTTAAAGTAAAGAAAACACAAATTCTCCCCTTCAGCAGGAAGTGGTGGTGTGGTCCAATTATCCCTCTTTGTATTTAATGGTTTCCAACCCTGGCTGCCATCTTTTGTCCAGCTACTCCTGGGGGACGATGGCAGGTAAGAAATAAAAAGACAAAGGTTAGTCAGAAATCAAAGAAGTGAAGTAGTTTGAATACATAAGTAAACTAAATGTATCCAAACCAATCAATAAAGTTATTGGCAACTAAAATGTATTACTATGTTCAAATGAAGAATGAAAATACGAAAGTTAGCGACTTTAGAGTGTGGCCACGGGTTTGGAAATGTGCTGGTGTAGGGCTGCTTGGGGACGGAGCACCTTTTGATCACTGATTTAATTAGAACACAAGGTGCTTTACATTGTAAGGTCGACCCTACAATATTATATACAGAGAAAAACCCAACAATCATATGACCCCCTATGAGCAGCACTTTGGCGACAGTGGGAAGGAAAAACTCCCTTTTAACAGGAAGAAACCTCCAGCAGAACCAGGCTCAGGGAGGGGCGGGGCCATCTGCTGTGATTGGTTGGGGTGAGAGAAGGAAGACAGGATAAAGACATGCTGTGGAAGAGAGACAGAGGTTAATAACAGATATGATTCAATGCAGAGAGGTCTGTTAATACATAGTGAGTGAAGAAGAAACAGCCAGTGCATCAACAGCAGTGATCCAGTAATGGGACGGTACATCAGTTACTTTAATTATACAACTTCTTTATACTTAAATAAAACGACTTATTTTTCCCCATGTTGTAAATGTTTATATAAAGTTTTGTGCTGTTGTGTGGCTGAGTTTGTGTGGAGCCTGTATTTAGACCCAAGTGCACAAACTGTTAAATAAATCTGCCACCATGACTGTCAAATGCACATGGACACACACACACACACAATGAAGAGGGGCTGGGCTCAGTGCAGTGGCCATTTGTGCTGTTGTTGGCGTGGAGACAAATTCCACATAGCACAATCTTTTGACCTTTGTCAATAAAGTTAATAAAGAATTTGGAAATTCCACATAGCACAGCTTTCTCAGCTTTCTTAGCTGGATAATCACAAATGATAAGGCTTGATACAGCCTTACTAATTTGGGGGATTTCTGCTAATCTGCAGAATTTCATAACTGAAACCAACTAATTCCAACTAAATCCATTTCTGAATGATGTCCATGCACCACAACGGGCTCAGCGTGCTGACGTCTGAGGACAGGGAGGCAGTTTATGTTCAGCTTTTCTCGTAGCGCCTGAGCTACGAGCTGCTTGTTAAAGTGAACTTTTAGTCACTTAGTTGTGAAACCCGGCTAAGTAAACGGACGCACCGTGTTTGCAGTGTAACAGAGGATATGCAGGCATAACAGAAACATCCAGCTGGGTCCGGTTCATCTTCTGCCACAGTATTAGGGTGGGGAAGGGGATGATAAGACTCAACATGTTATAACGAGAAACCTGCACACACAGGAACGTGAAGCTCGGTATGGCACAATGTCTTGGCGCAGCATCAACATCAGTCTGTGGGAATGAGCCTTTTCGTTTGAACTGAGTAAGCTGTGTACCAGTCCATCTGAGACACTGTCTGCAGCGTGAGACTGTTTCATTAGGAAAGAATTGATGGACTCTCCCCAGGAGATTGCAAATTTCCTGTTTGTAACCCCAGCGATCATATCAACACATTTTAATTAAACTTCGTATTTCTTTTATGAAAAATTTTTCAAGAATCTAAGAGCGACGGTAAACGTGTAGGTCAGCAGTGTCAAAGACATTTTCTGGCAGCTGCTGACACATCTGTGCAACAACAGTGGCTCAAATAGGACCAAACATGGAGGCATTGTTAACTAACTCAGACGTGTGTTTGTTAAAACCACGTGTGAATGTCACAACTGTTGTTATAGATCATGTCCAATCAACTTATTTATTATTTCTGTATTTATGAGGAAGTTCTATTAAAATAATAGAAAACGTGCCTTTAACTCTGCGAGTCATCAGAAATGACCACAGGACCAGGACGCATCAGGTGGACATCACATGGACTGTTGTGCTTACCTGTGGCATCTAAAGAGGCTAAAGTTCACAGTAAAGATCTTAGTAAGTGCTCTATGCAGTGCATGCTAGCAGCCTTTGTATTTGGAATAAGGGTTTAAATCTGCACAGTAACAACTCTCTCTTTGCTCAGCACTGTTAGTTTGTTGCTCTTTATTCTGGTTTTAAATGTGTGCATGTCCTCCTGTTAACCTGTTAGCCTAGCATCATGATGAGTGTAGCTACTTTACAGTGTGCTACGATGCACAAATGCCCGTGGTGTCAGTGTTTTATGGTCACGCTTACCTTTGGAGCACATCTCTGTACTCCCGGTGATTTTGTAGCTCGGGGCGGTAATGACTGATGCCATTGTCTGCACTGTTTATACGAATGCGACTGTGCTGTTAGGCTGGATTTTTTTCTCATGCTTATACTTGCAAGAATCTGCCAGTTCCAGACATTGAATGTTCCCAGAAAGCATTTACTCTGTCACTGTCAGTGTGAGCTGAGGATGGAGCCTTCAGGCTTATCAGTGAAGCACTCAGCCAAGAAATGTTAATGAAATAATTTGAGCTACATGTGAAACACAGAGTAATGATTTAAGACTAGTTAGAGTTCTTTTTGTGTTGTCAAATTAATTATAAGAAGGTGATGTAGATGTTTTACTCATATATGATGAAATGCCCATTTTTGTTTGTTTTTTTCACACAGGTTTTATTGTATTGTAACAAAGTTATTGTAAGCTGCACATTGATGGTTATCATAGCATATAACCATGTAATAAAGCTTTGACTGCTCCCCTACAGACAGGGGCTCAGCATAGCTCCACATGTTTTATTTGGTTTTATTACTTGATGCAACAATGTGATTCATATCAGGAACAAACCCAGCTTAACCTTGATCCACTGGTCTGCTGGGATATCGCCAGTTTCCATCCGAGGAGCTGACGTGTGCGTTATTATTTTAGTTTGTTAAACTGGGCTTGATCCAGGTGACAGCGAGCCAGCGCGATGCTACCTGTGTGCGTCCAGCAGCCTGTAGTCAGTTTAAATATGACATGGATCAGTTTGTAAAGGCCGAGAGAGGTGGACAGAGAGGGAGAGAGCAGGAGAGGAAGAGGTGAGAGGGGACGTGTGGTCACAGAGTGAAGCTGGAAAAGTTCTTCCTCACAAAGTGTCATTCACGGATGCTTAGCCTGCTTTCCAGCAGCACACTTTCAGCCGACCGACCCAAAGGGGACGCCATCTTTGCATTAGTCTGTTTGACACGAGGAAGCACTGCAGCCCAAACAGACCTGTTGATTTCTTCCAAACCAAAAGCACGAGTCTAACAACCTTAGTAGCAAACATTTTGAGCTATTATTTTACTGGACAGCTCAACATCAGGTCAAATTGAAGTGCATGCAGCCCGTGACCTTAGACACTCGTGAACATTCACTGAGAATATTGGTTGTAAAGGCTCATATCAGCTGATGCTGACACTCAAGAGGCTTAAAGAGAATACGACATGTTCACTTTCCGTGTGTCTTTAGTGTGTCAGTGTCAGCTTACAGTCACCTGACCGCGTCTGCTTCCTCCGTTCTGTGTGAACCCATCGTGTGCATCATGTGGGCTGATTTAAAGCAACTTGAAAAGGAAATGAGGTTGTGTGTATCTGCTCATTGCTGTGTGTCTGACCTCCTCAGCACAGCCATCAGCCGTGGGCAGGTCCAGGCCATACCAGGGTGTGCGAGTCAGGGATCCTGTCAAAGAGCTGCTGAGGAGGAAGAGGAGCCTGGAGCTTTACAGCACCAAGACACTGCCTCCTACTGGGGTGAGGACGCCATGACAGATAAGCAGAGAACACTTGTTGAACACTGAGCTAAAAGATGTTTGAAGCACAAGCTGCCACATTTATAACGAGCAGGGTTCAAAAACAGCAGACTTCAAGTAAAATCTGAATGAAAATGTTTGTGTGCATCTACCTGCAGGTACGTCATTTCCTGTAAATCAATGTGTGGTTTAAAAAAGCAAAACCAACAAAAACCTGCAGGATTGTTCCTTAAAGCTGTGCTTTGACTGTGTGTTTTCAGAGTAGGTTTACTTCACTAAACAGTGTTTCCCTCACGGCATCGTCACTAAACAAATACACAGGAGACTCACACAGTGGGAGCAACGACTGCTCTGCATCATGTGCTGACACTTTGAAACTCTGTGAGACGTTTGGGAGACAGAGTTAAAAATGTGTAAGAAAATAAATAAAAGTAAAGTAGAGCGGTGCTCTGTTTCAACAACAGTTTCCATGAAACCCCCCCCCAAAAAATCCCCCCCTCTCTTTGACGTAGAGCTGCCCTCTAATCCCATGACCTGATTGCCTCCTGACGATTTATCACTTTCAGTCTTTAGGCTAGTGCTCTTTCCTCGTGAATCATTGATCTCTCTGCAGGGATCATAACCTCACAGAGCAGCAACATGCAGACACTGATTGATTGGCTGTGTCTGCACATGACATCTGCAGGAATCGAAAGCAAAATGTCCTGTGAGGATGTGTTCGGTCGGGATACGGGCTGAGAAAGCAGCGGGGGATTTTATCCTTATATAATCCAGGTGTTTTTCCATGGCGGTTACAGCAGAGCTGCAGGGCTGGGCACACAGCCCTATGCAAAGTAAAGTGCAGCCTTGCCAAAGAGACCTCCCACTTTCTATTTATTATCCCTGCAAGAAGAGAAGAGGCCAGAAGCAGCGGTGTGCACAAACATACACATGTACGGACACTCCCCGTGACTAGCATGTGATATTCCAACATCTTTTATTGGCACGACACTACAGTTGATTATTTTAAATGATATTAGTCAGTGCTGCTAGCAGCAAAGATAAAATTCTGTCCACTTCTTCCACTATTTGCCTGCCTGGCAGGACCACGCGGGTGTTTCCAGGATTCTGGTTCAAATGGACGACAGTTGTGTTTGTGCAAGTCTCAAACCAAACCAGATTAAAAAAATCATCAAGTTGATTTTAATGGATCCGTGACCCACCGAGTCCATAAACTATCCCACGGAGATGTTTCCCCCTTTGGAAAGTTCCTGCAGCTAACGTGAAATACATTCAGACACTTAGAGATTGAACTAAGTTGGAGGTGGTGGGTGGTGCCGCCACACTTTGTGTAAGAGGGTAACGATATGCATCAGATTATTATGGCTGCTTCTTAAAGCGCATTCATGGTGACGTGGAACAGTCGGCATGTCCAGGTGTAACTTTCATGGATGCTGTTAAAGCCGACTCATTCCTCAGCCTCAGTCAAACCCAGTGTAGGTGATCAGCTCCTTTCCTTTGTGAACACAAAGCGTCCTCAGAAAGTGACCACAGTGGGGTTTAATTGTGTGACTGTTGTAGCTCCTCCTGTCAGAGCTGTCGAACCATCAGCTCCTCTCCTGCAGCCACCTGACAGCACCTCCCTGCTGCCTTGAACACGCCCTGCCCGCTGACTGCAGGCAGCAGGATGCAGGACAAACACTGACACATGCTGTCAGTGCTGTTGCCTCCCATTCAGTCTTTTGTGTTTGCGTATCGCAGTGTCTCTTCTTGCTACAGGCACATATACAGCCCGATCGGTCGATACCAAACACACGGGTTTTAGACTCAATCTGTGAGACGGACATTTGGGTTTGCACAAACACAGAGACGAGGCAGAGAGTGGACAGTGTGGCAAAATCCACTTTGTGTGAAGTCTGTAATCTTTCCTCAAAGAAAAACGGACAAAATATCCACAAAAAGAGAAAAGACCGATGTGCATGTATCGTGTAGTTAACTTGGCTGACACAGTCATACACTGGAATTCAGTTATTGGCTTTTATGTATTTCCTCATCGTTGGTTTCCCAGGTTTCGCAGCTGTGATTTATCAGGTTGATTGAACAAACTGGGACTCCAGTCCAGAGATGATGCCACAGCTTTCACAACACGCTTCTTAGCTCCAAATATAACATGTTCTGAGGATTTTTACTTGGAAAGCTGCAGTGACAACATCTGAAAGCAGACTCAGTGAATGTGGAATAACTGCCACCTCATGTTAAATTACTCATGCAGTTTATACTGTGCAGAAATCCCGAGCCACCCTTTCTGCTCATTTGGACATTGGTTTCTTTTTCATTTGCTGTCAGTCCAGCTGTGAATCGTTCGAGCATTAAAAAGGAGGCTAGCTGAAGGGATGCAAAAACACACCCTTTGTTATCATTTCTTAGGCAAAAGTACCAACGATGACACACTCTGACAGAGGTAAAATAAAACAAAAGTGACTCCAAAAGAGCCCGACTGTGAAATACTGAATCCTCAAAAAACTGTGAAGTCTGGGGAAGACGAGGAGTGGCACTCCTAAAACAGCAAATGATCAGTACAAGAAACAGGAACACATCCAACAACGAGCTGACACTGGCCCTGAGGAGTGTAACTGGCCCTCCAGCTGATCCAGCTCCTGAAGCCTGATCAGAAATGGTGTCAGTGGAAGGGTGGCTGTCAAGAAGCCATCCCTAAGAAACGGAAACACGGAGAAAGAGCTGAAATTACAAATTACACAAGAACTGAACTGAAAGTCAGTCGTAGCAGTGATAAATCCAAACGTAATGTTTTGGTTTGAATTATTTTCAGTGTGTACGGAGGAGGTCAGGAAAGTGTCTACAGCTGTGAAGCACGGTGGAGGCTGTGTCGTGGTTTGGGGCTGCGCTGCTGGTGACCTTTCAAAATCCACCACGAAACACCGTTTGGAGTCTGATTGGCCACAGCTTCATTTATCAGCATAGCAATGATCCTAAACGCATGATGTCAGTGCATTAAAGCACACAATGGAAACCCTCCAGTGTGTGTGTTTGTGGTATTATGGAAAATACAATGACAGAGCAATGAATAGCACAGGTTCAGAATGGGTTCAGTGGTTTCTTCAGCGATCCACTTTCTTTTATTTGATATCTTTAATTCAATTCAATTCAA